CCAGCTCGCCATCACCGGAACCCAGGTGTACAATATGGAGCTAGTCCACAGGAGACCAACGCTATAAGTGAGACACCACTATGTCAAAAGCACGCTAATGAACTGACAAATAATTGCTATAGTGCTATATCAAGAGGACACAAGTAAGTCAGTGCTGCAATTGAGACAGCACTGTATTGAAAGGGCACTAGGAGACTAAAGTTAGAAGTAAGACAGCACTGTAATTACAATCATGAAAAAATTGAAATCACATGAACACTGACTTACCTAGACTTGTGAGAATGTTTAGGGGGCCACTTCTTGTCAGCCACACAGGCCACTTCCGGCCCAAAGGCCACAGGATGGTCACCACTGGCCCAGTGCCATTAAATCCCACAAACGGAACATGTGATTAAACACTAGAAAAGTACGAAGCCTTCTTCCAGACATGTCAAAACAAGTTCTTGTTCACATACTTTGGCCAGAGTAACTTTTAACCGACTAACCTAATGGTCAGTGTAAACTAAAGTTCATGAGGTTCCCACTGAACAGTTGAGCTCTGTTTCCTCACTTGTGAGTGATGAGTTGTGACTGAATGACGTAGGTTTGCTCAGCCTTAACAGTGAGCGTTGGCATGTTGTTTGACCACCAAGGGCAAAATTGTTAGCCTAAATGTCACTTATCTCAAGATAATAACAATAATAATCCTTACATTTGGCAAGATATATGATATACTGAGGCAGACTGTGGAGTCCTGTAGCATAGTGGTTAGGGCACCCGGATTCAATTCCTGGGCAGGGCGAAACCTTAGGCAAGTTTCCTAGCAGTAAGTAGGAATCCAGTTGTTTGTTGATTGGTGGATCGCTTTCCGGGGCTTAATAATCCCTTAATAAAAATAATAATTTGGTCACTCAATCCACGACTCTTTGTGGATACTGCTGTGCGCAATTGGCTGCCATGTTTCAGCCACAAAATATACAGTCAATTCACTTGACAGTATGTTCTGTGAAGCGCTTTGAGATGTCTCAAGGCGTGATAAGGCATTGTATCAAATGCAAGGATTATTATTATATGCACAGACTCTAAAATATCCCTTAGATTCTCAAGAGTCTTCATGTTTAGGTCTTCAGAAATCCAGTGGTTTGGTATAATTCTACTTATGTGTGTAGGCTAAATAAATGAGTAAGAATGCAGGGAGTACTTATAATAATAATAATCCTTGCATTTGATATAGCGCTTTTCACGTCGGGAGGACGTCCCAAAGCGCTTCACAGAATATACTGTAAAGTGAATTGACTGTATATTTGTGGGCGAACGCGGCAGCCAATTGCGCACAGCAGTGTCCCACAAACAGTCGTAGATTGAAAATTACCAATTTATTATTGTTTTTGGAGGGATTATTATCAGGCGTGTGGAGTAAGGAAACTTGCCCAAGGTTTCACCCTGACCTGCCTGGAATTGAACTCAGGTTCACTTGCAAAGCGAGTGCTCTAACCACTGAGCTACAGGACTCCACTTATCGGAAGCATGATGATCTTTATCCTTTCAATGTGAGCTCACCCACATTTCTTTCACCTGAAGCTGCTTGGAATAGTATTTTTTTAAAAAAATATCTATTTCAAAAAATATTCTGCTGAAGTTGCTGGTCTGCCTGCTGGATTCTGATTGAGTCTTCCATTGTAATGATTTGAGCCTTTGAAATTTTACAGTTCAAAGATGAAGGTTTCTTTTCACATAAGGAAGCGCAAATCTCAGTTCAGAAGTTCTTAAAGGTTCAGTGACCCCAAAGTTTCCAGCTTCCCTCTATCCATGATAGAATATTTTAATTGCACGTGAAGGGATTATAAGAAAGCCTGGACCAACAATGTGGAAATTCATTTTCTAATGTGGTTACCTGATGTGAGAGATTCTTTGTAACCCACTGAATTTGAGTGGTGATGTGGTGAAGCACAGGGTGTTGGAATGCTGGTTTTTGCTTGTGATTTTCCTGCACTGTGCATTCCTGATCCTGTCTGCAGTTGGAGGAAGACAGCAAGCAGGGGCAAGGTGCTTGCCACAGAAAGGGAGTGAGGAACAACATTCTATGATATCGCTGCTCTTGTGCCTTTCTTAGCTGTTCAGAGAGCAGCATCAGCAAATGCCTGGTTGCATGTTGCTGCCTGCCCACCACGATAGCAATGGAATTGTGAGTTGCACAAACGACCCAAAAGGGAAGAGAGCAAATAAATTGAGAGAAAGAAGTTAAGAATTAAACAAATTAAATGCTTTTAAGTTAAGAAATGTATAAAACATGCCAACGGCCTGCCACCTATTGTAAAATTCAGTAAAAGTTTTACATTCAACAGAGGAGATCCCAGTTTTTATGTCGATTCCATTCTGTAGATTAAAGTGAGTCTATTAGACCATAACACTATAAGATTTAGGAGCAGGAGTAAGCCATTTGGCCCCTTGAGCCTGTCCTGCAATTTAATAAGATCATGGCTGATTTTCTAACCTAATTCTGTTTACCCGCCCTATCCCCATATCCCTTAATCCCTCTATCCTTTTTGTCAAACTATTAACCCCCCATAAAAATAAATTTGAGATGAGGGTGGAAGTTTTGTTAATAGATCATTGTTTCGTGCAAAATGGTTGCTGCTAAATGAGAATTCCTATAATTGCATTGGAAAATTCTTATGACAGTTGGGTAGAACTTGCATCTGGATTGAGATTTACTGTATTAACGTAAATTAATTAACATTAATGTTAAATTATTTAACGTAAATTTATTAACATTCAGAATTCATCATTCTTAAATCTAATTTAATTCCACATACTGAATTTGTCGAAATGTTTTTGGAAGCGACAGACCAACAAGTAAATGATAACAATTTTAAATGTTGAGCCTGTTTTTTGCTGTGTTGTATGAGTCAAGGCTTTGGAATTCATTTATCCTGCATGATAGTCGTATCACTTTCCTTAATTTAGCTATCTATTATTGCAATCTACTGTTTAAATGTTTTTCATTAACTTGAGTGGGTGAATGGAAACTTGCCTTTTGTATGCTTTGTCTTTCTTCTACGTGCAGTGTAGGAAGTGGTTGTTGAGTGAAGTTAGTGGCGCCATTACAATTTGTGTATGCATTTACGTTGCCCTATGTCATTGAGACGTCTCAATGTGCTTCACAGAATTGGTACTGTAAATTGTAGTGTCTCACAAACACCCATGAAATTAATTACCAATTTTTATCCGAGGATTGTTGGCCAGAACACTTGGAGAAACGCCCTTCTTTTCTCAAGTAGTATCTGTAGTGCCCACCTGAATAGCCAGATGTGCCTTGGTTTAACATATTATCCAAAAGAGAGCACTTCTGACAACGCAGTGCTCTCCGAGCCCTTTATTGGACAGTCTGTCGACACTGTGAGTTCAAAGTCCTGATGTGGAACTTGAACCCCATACTTCATATACTCAAAAAATGTTGCATTTGTTTGCAGATTTTTGTTCATCTTTTGGTCCTCGTAGTAACCAGGAATGGTAACAACACCACAGCCTCCCTCTGTTGAACTGAACACTTCTGTTTTTCGGAAATATCATTACATTTTCACCTAAACCTTAGTCGAAAATTTGGAACTCGCTCCCTCAATCCCTCCTCCTTGCCCCCTCCTCCCCTATTTTCAGTTCACACCTGAAGACTTTCCTCTTTGACCGTGCCTATAGTCACCCCCAACCCCCGCCCCTGTCATGTGCTCTGAGACGCTAACCAGGGCGATATATAAATGTACGTTGATGCTGTCATTATCTCAAGATGTATACGTGGGTGGGGAACAGGTCCTCCAGACGATTTGGATGGAATTGAGTGTGTGAGTGCAGTGAGAATTCTGTGCCTCCACAGTGTGTTGACAGGCCCATGGGAACTAGGAATGAGTGCTTTTCTGAAGTTAATTGCATGATGAGCACAAGTATTCACAAGCAGTTGACTTTGGCTGCAGTCTGTTTTTTTTCCCAAAAAGGCAAGAACACAAACAACCTACCAGGACCTCATTAATTTTACACCTGTCTAAGAAAAAATCGCTCATTCTCCCAACGGTGTGGAAAAGGAACCTTTAATAGGACACAGAATATCCAGTAAAATGTGGACTAATGAGAGAATGTCCGTAGAATAGGTTATTTTGATGGTTGGGGTAGGGGGGTCATCACTAACCTGTTTCATTATGAAACTGCAGGCAACCAAAGTATGTCCAGTGTCGGTGTGAAAAAGTATCCTTTACAACAAAGATTTGAACGTCGTTATAGAATTTGCTGGAGCGCTGCTGCTATGCTGGACAATGTCGCTAACTTTAGAGTGACCGTTCCTCTTTGAAGTGCCTTAAATGGACATCAGTGTACGGTCATGCTAAATAACACAGCTGGCAACAGCACCAGCACGCGTGATGCTACGCTCCCATATATGGGAACACAAAGAAAGTGGCGCTCCTTATCTAGCCCGTCCCTGGCCATCATATGTTGAATGTAGCGTGCAAAGCTAGTCCTATGTAGGCCACCTGCTCCTGTCTTTACATTATGGTATAACTAAATACGAGTTCAATTAGAAATGAGGAAAGTTGAGTGATGCAGCACGGGGTTTTGTAATTGCCTTTTCGATCTCTATTATTTTAATCAACTGTAGTGCCTTTGAAAAATTACCGTGTATATTTTATGAGAAAGGAAGCTTGCAATTACAAGGTAATATTTTCTTTTAATTTAAGTATTGGATATTTATGGGGATAAGGTGTTGCTTTCAAATTGAGTATATATAAAACGTGAATGTTCATCAACAAATAGTTTTGAACTTGACTGATTTCACATTTCTCTGGCAGCAGTCAGCCTTTTTATTAACTAATAAAGGTCTTTGAATTATGGAGAGTGTTGGCTTTAAAATGACTAGACAGTGCGACTTTGACAAGTGTAGGAATGAACTATGTGTGCACTGCATAGAAACAGACCTTAGCCCCCTCCTCCCAGCTAGTGATGACGTTTTTCTCATGGTACTTTTCTATTTTCAGCTTTTGCCGGACCAGCTGGTTTTACTCTTGGAATTGCTGTTGGAAGTGGAGTCATTGTCTTTCCGAACTCTGAAGCGGCTACAGAAGCACTATTGCCTCAGGGAGCAGGATGCGGAGGTAATTCATTAACTGGCCCGCTGAACTGTTTTGTCAATGCTGATGTTTTGTAAACGATACCAGAGAGAGAGTGAAAAAATGCACCTCACAGAACCACTTCATGCACCAGCTGTAAATTCAGTTAGTGCAAAAGAGTCGATATTCCCTTTGAAATAATCAGCTCACATGTGTTTAAAATCAAAGGGGTAGTTTCTTATAGCTCAGTTATTGTTTAGTTGACTATAGCTCAGTCATTGCTTGTTTTCCTATAGCTCTGAGTTTGCTGGTTTCTTGTAGCTCAACATTACTTTTCGGGCTCAAAGGAATCCAATTGTTTTGAAACTGCAATAATAATAATCCTTATATATGATATAGTGCCTTGCAAGTCAGAAGGACGACTCAAAGCGTTTCACAGGATATACTGTAAAGTGGAGTGATTGATTTTGTGGGCAGACGCAGTCACCATATTATATGATGTCTAATAATAATAATAAATCTTGCATTTGATATAGCGCTTTTCACGTCTTCTAGACGACTCAAAGCGCTTCACAGAATATGCTGTAAAGTAAATTGACTGTATGTTTGTGGGTGAAACATGGCAGCTAATTGCTCACAGCAGTGTCCCACAAACAGTCGTGGATTGAAGTGACCAATTTTTTTTTTCTTGAGTGATTATTATTAGGCTTGTGGAGTAAGGAAACTTGCCCAAGTTTGCCCTGCCAGGTATCGAACCCAGCTTTCTTGCTTGTGAGGCTTAGTGCTCTAATTACTGAGCTACAGGACTCCACGATCCATGACTCCATGATCTTGTTTTGGGGAGAAATATGATCTAATTCTACATAGTATTAAAGGGGTAGGAATTATTTAGCAGTAAAATTGATGAATTTGGAACACCTAAAATTAGATCAGGTAGTTTTGTGCTACGTGGTGTGAATGATTCACAAAATCCAATGTACCTCTTTTGGAACAGAAGGGTTATTTGGTTCACAGAATTGTCAGAGTCAGTTGAGTAGCCACATAGCGTGTTGGTAGGTTGACTAGATCGCAATTTGATAATTTTAGTTCTAAATAGTCATCTGAGTATGACCATAGCAACAGTAAGTATAAAATAAAAATGCATTTTTAATGCTTTTTTACTTTTTTAAATTGTCTCAAGTTTAACACTCACAAGCCTTTTCAGCCCAAACTGTGCTTTTTAATTTCTCACACAGTATTATAACCTCTGGAAAGCAATTTTAATTGGAAAACAGTGCAATGTGTTGTAAGTGAAACTGCGCAGTAACCAGTGCTGGGCCAAGAAGAGATTGTATCTTCAGTGAAGTGGACCGCACAGTACTGGAAACAAAAGTATTTATCTAAGCCCTCGGAAATTCCAAAATGCTTTTCATTCCAGAGTTCCATGTTATGAACATATTGTGCTAATTGTGCATTCAATGGAGAAACAAACAGTTTTGTAAATGCCATGCAGTAGCATTTTCACATGGACAATGTTTAAAACAAATTAACTATATTTACACATGGTTCTGTAGGTTTGCGTGACTGATCTTAATATTCAAAGTTGTATATAATTATATGTTAGAGATTGGCGCTGCCTAAATTCTTCCAGTGCGGCACACAGTTGAGTTTGCCCACCCTAATGCTGTTGGCTTCAGGTGCCCCTGATCATTCAACAGCAGAACTTCATTGTTGTTAGATGTGTTTGGGGCCTCAGAGTCTGGCCAGAGAAAACTGTGTCAATCTTTGCATTCTGGACTTTCGACAGGCTGAGAAACAGCCTTTAAAGGTCATTGTGCAGCTCAACGATGACTCAGTTTCTGTGTTTTAAAAAGTTCCTTGCGGCTTCAAAATGAATAATGTTAGCCAAGAATAGAGGGGTGGGTGGGAAAAAGTACGAAAAATATTTTGTAGTTTTTCAATGACCTAGTAAGTAAAGGCCACAGCTCAGTGCAGCACTAAGTCAGCTAATCTCAGTCATAGTAGTTGGGCAGCCCTAGTGCCCTAGGCTAGAGAAGGGAAACTAGATGAGGATATGTTAGCACAGAATTGGGGTGGGTTGCACGGTTTCCCTCTCCTCACAATATCAGAAGGCAATCTTCTCTGATTTCTAGGCTTTCAAGATCCTTCAAGGTATAATTAAGATGAATAAAGGATTTAACTTGGTCAGAATAACTAGAACAAGAGTACACAGAATCCAGTTCAGAAGAAGGAATGTACAGAGGGTTCACATTTAATACTTTACAAAGCAAATAGTGAATAGGTGGTACAGATTGTTATTTGGCAAATAAACCAATTGCTATACAAATGTAATCTTGTTGTTGTTGAGAGGTGTGTCATGCAGAGTAGTGTACATTTATTTTTGCTTTGGTATCAGGCACAAGGATCACAATAAACTTTTCTAGTCTTGTGTTCTATGTTCATATTTGCTGCACTAGCAAATATGAACATAAGGCAAAATGCGGCAGCCAATTGCTGTGTGTTTTGCCCACAAATATACAGTCAATTCACTTTACAGTATATTCTGTGAAGCGCTTTGAGACGTCTAGAAGACGTGAAAAGCGCTATATCAAATCAAGGATTATTACTAATATTAAAAAAAAATTAATGCAGCAAATTATCCTGGCTCAGTTTGTAGCACTCTTGCATCTGAATCAGAAGGTTGTGGGTTTAAGCCCCAAGTCGGGGGTTTGATCTCACAATCTAGGCTGACATTCCAATATAAACCTGCATTGTTGGAAATGCTGTCTTTTGAATGAGATGTTAAACTGAGGTCCTGTCTGTCTGTTCAGGTGGACTTTAAAGATCCCATGGCACTATTCGAGAAGAGAAGAGAGTTCTTCTGGTGTTCAGGCCAACAATTTCCACATGAAATTGGTCATTCATTCAGAGCTATATAAACTGCAACTATTACTATTATAAAAATGTGAAAGGTAGTTTAAGTAAATATGTTTCCTGCCACTTGTTTCTCGTTCTTTTCACTTAGCTCTTTTCTGTACAATATCATTAAAATGTGTTAATGGCATTTAGGAAAACTTGATAGACACTATACCAAATTATTTTTCACTTCACCGATTAACTGGGTTGGCAGCTGCATAGAGCTCTAACACTTTTGCTTAAGCATTAGTGAAATGATCGCAAAGTTTTTTTTTAAAATGATGGTTATTACGAAGGAGGCAACTGGATATGTGCTGGAGTAAGAGATTTACATGACTCTCTCACTTTATGTATTTGGTGCAGAACTTCTTGATTCTTGCACTATAAGCCTTAACAGATCAGTAGCATATTTTCACTTAATCTTATAAAGAATAATGTGGTACTTAGTAAGGATTTTCAACTCGAGTTCTTAGAAAGCAACGCCAGCTTTCACTTATTTTCCATGCGTTTCACCCACAATATACAGTCAATCAATTTTATAATATATTCTGTGAAGCGCTTTGAGAAGTCTCAATGACTTGATAAAGCACTAAATCAAATGCAAGGATTATTATTATTATTATTATTTGGTGCCTTTCACATTGGGAGAATGTCTCAAAGAGCTTCACAAAGACTGAATGGGAGCCCAAGTTGGGAGCTAGCTCAGGGGGAGTTTGGAGGGATTGTTGGGGGACTCAAGGGGGAGGGGAGGTGTTGGCACAGAAAGAGGCAGCTCTTCAAGCAGGATTTGAAAGGGGAAAGGCAGAGTTATATTGAGTAACAAGGAGTCCAGAAGGCAGGGAAAGAGAGCTGTAGACTCGTCCACTATTGGTAGGGCATTGCAGGGGAGGAACAGAGCAAGCGGATTGGTATAGTGGAAGAAGGAGTTGGGGAAGTAGGGTGACAGGAGATCACATAGATATGGTTGTGCAAGGCTGTAGAGACAGCTTCATTAACATTTTTCTGCTTGAAATATTTGTCATAAAAAATCTGAACAACTTTAAAGCTGCAAGGGAAATTAAATGCCTAAAGTGGCTGAGAATTAAGGATTTGCTGTAACTAGTTCTTAAGTTCAGATTTACTCAAGTTTGATAAAAATGGAAACAATTTTTGAGCCAGAAGTTTATTTTGAGCATTGTTTGATCTTAGTAGAGTTCATTGTGTGGGCCCTGTATTGTAGAGATGGATTTTGATGGAGATATCAAAGTAAAGGTTACTACACTGTTTTTGTTTTTCTGGTCATCATATCAACATCAGTGCTTGTTTCTTTAAAGCAAAGATCTACTATAAAGTGCAACTTGTCTGCTGGCTTGTGCATTGTTACTCTTCACAGATTGACATATTCTCTACTCAGGTTCTATTGATCTTCAGGAGGGAATGAGGTTAATCAGGTATAACAGGCAGACTGCAGCATTGTTCTAGTCAGTCGAATTTGGGCCGAGTGAGATGGGACAAAACAGTAAATAACTAAGGTATTGCAATGAGAAGCATGCACATAATGAAGTTGTGACTATATCACAGGTGTTGAAGGAAGAAGATTTGGTTAAGATTATTGATCATTTATTGAAACTTTCCAGTTAGCAAGTTATTCGTATTTGAATAGATCACTGGTGAGGCCCCATTTGGAACATTGTAATCTTATTAGCTCTAATAATAAGTCTTTAATTTGATTTAGTGCTTTTCACATTGGGTGGACATCTCAAAACACTTTACAGGATTTACTGTAAAATGTAGTAACTGTATTTTTAGGCAAACCTGGCAGCCAATTTGCACACAACTCCCACAAACAATCATGAAGTGAGTGACCAATTTTATTGGTGGATTGTTGGCCTGGACACCAGAAAAAACTCCCTTCTCTTTTCATATAATGCCATGGGATTGTTAAGGTCCACCTAAGGAGGTAGATGGGATTGGGATTGAATGCATCATTCAAACGATGGCATCTCCAAGAATTCAATGCTCCCCCCAGTAATGCATTGGATTGTCAGCTTGGGCTCTGTGAGTTCAAAGTCCTGGTGTGGGGCTTGAGCCCACAACCTTCTGACTCCGAGGCGAGAGGTTTTCCAAATGAACCAGGCTGACACGATATTCACAAATATTGTGAATTGTAA